CCTCTATGCCAGGGTTTTTATGTTCCTGGTCAGGCTATAAATGCGCCAAATTATGACGTCACTTGCCATACTCGCGTAGTACAATTTTTTTTCAGTACAGTCAGTATAAACTAGGCAAAATTTTTATTTTGAAAAATTTTTTGGGAATAATGAATTTTTTTCGTCCAAGCTGGAGCAGCTGGTTTTGTAATTTTGATAACAATTTAGAGAAGAATTATTCAGGGTTACATAACAAAAAAAAATTGGAAAAAGTGAAGATTTGTGGCAACACGAGCAAAAGGACCGTCACCTGGAGTAGAATTTTTTGTTTTTTTTTAAATGCCTATTATTTTTAAAATATGCCACATAGATTTTTTTTTTATATTTTTCTGATAACCAGCACAACTTGCCTCAACACCCAGTTCCGGCTTGACGTTACATTACGGGTCACCCTGTATAATACAAAATAATAAAAACCACATGCTATAGGGGCATTTTTTGGAGTAATTTATCAATAACAAAAAAAACACGAATTTAAAAGCAGATTTTTTTCAAAAAGTATCATTTTTTATTATTTGTTGGCATTTTTTGTGTATTTTTTAGTATTGCCTGTTATTTAGCATTATTACTGTTTTTATTTTATCAGGATATACCGCTTAGTTTAAAAGTTATTACGTTTTCTTTACAATAAGTAATTGGAAGAAAAAAAATTTAAGAAAAATCTCAAAAAAAAATTTGACCTCTTTTTTGTCGATAAAAATAGGTCTAGTTTCATCTATTTTCATATGTACACTTTAACGTGACTCACACTGTATAAGCTACTTTTTTAATTGATGTTATTTTTGTATTTATTTATTTTTTAAATCTGCTTCAATTTAGATTATATTAAATATCAAATAGGTATTTCATTAGTCAAATAAGTCAAATAAATTTCAGATCCAGTTATTGATTGAATAGCTAGTTACGAGCCGCCAAACTTTAACAAAAGTACAAACCACGATAAAAAATCAACTTAGAATACAATTTGAATTGAATTTTGAAATTTTGAATACAATTCAAATAAAAAAAATTAATGTGATAATGGATTGCCAATGATAATAAAAACATCTCTAGCTTCTCTTTCCAGTGACATATCAATAATGTAGTAATTAGATATTGAAATTTGTCAAAAATTCTAAGTATATGGAAGAAAATGACTTATGGTCCTATGCCCCCTAGATGGGGCAAAGGGCGTCCACAACAGTCCTCCATCTCGTTCGGTCTTGAGCTTCTCGCTTGATCTCGCTCCAGGTCTTGCCGATCTTCTTCGCCTCGTCCGCTACAGTGCGCCGCCAAGTTTGCCTGGGTCGACCACCCATATGGAAGAAAATGGAACAATAATAATACAAAAATTTTCCAATACAAAGTAGATTTAGATTTTTTTTTTACTTTTTTCTTCATAATGTGGTTACCTATTATTTTTAATTTGATTTTGAAATAAAATACACAAAAATAGTTTTGAAAAGGTGTATAGCAGAAAATATAAAGATGTTTGAAAAAGCTTTGTATGGATAATAATTTGTGTATTGTTATTCCATTTACTTTGAATTTTTGACGAATTTCAATATCTAATTACTAGAGATGAAACGGATACTTGTTTGACCGGATACCGGATATCCGGCCAGCTGCTAGGCCGGATATCCGGCGGCCGGATAGTTGGCCCATTGTCTCGTTGCATGTTGTGAAGAGTTTAGCGCCGCACAGGTGCTTCGAACGCGATCAGTGGGTCTATTAGTACAGATCGCGGCACGTAACTCTAGCGCTGAACGAAACGTGGAGGGGATAGCTGCGCATGGATACAGTCGCGCACGCAATACAAATTAGTATCTAGTGTAATTATTTAATTAAAAATAGCAAAATAATGTCAAATAGTAAGTCTAGCGGTGAACAAAATGTAAAAACGACCATTTCATGTTACCTACAATATCATTTTTAACAAGGTTATGGGGAGTAGAAAAATAAATACATTATCGAATTTGTCAATTTTTATTTTAGATACCAAGCTAGACTAGTAGCTCGAATTACATATGAATACTGAAGTCTCCTCTCAGGATAGAGGAAACCTGAGAGTTCGGTAGGGTGTGGACATCAGACGCCGCATTCTCCTGTCTGTCCAGTAGGTGCCGTTATTTATATCTAGTCCGAATCAGAAAATGGTATCACACCTTCAACGGTAACTCGACAGGGCCTTTTGCTGACTGAGGGCCCGGGCTCAGGGCTGCTTCGGTCGTCGGCACTAGCAGCGTCATCGTCATCAGACTCACCAAGGCTATAATCTGAACTGTCACCATCAACGCGAATGATGAATTCTTCTGTAACCAAATCCACGATATGGTCACTCTTGGCATATTGCTCTTCTATGTCCTTTACCTTTTGGCATAACTTCCTCCAATCCCAAGCACCCATCAGCAAAACTTTTTCTTGGATCAGCTCTATACATTTAGCAACACTCCACTTCACATTTTTTCTGCCTACATATTGCTTTATGTCAGACCATGCCATTTCGATAGGATTTAGATCTGGGTGGTATGGTGGCAGTCTTAGCACTTGATGCCCTTGCTCTGCTAGTATCCTGTCAATTGAAAATGTTTTAAATCTATCTTTGTTAGCCCGTATTAAATTGTATAATTGAGGTTTTAATAGAGTTTCCTCATATTGCATGCCCTTTTCAGTAAGCCAAGCCTGCATGTCAGCTTTTTTTGAATTAAAGTTGGTGCGAGGTCCCATTGCTTATTATGGTATGATGCGTTGTCGACTACCACGACGGAATTAGGCGGTAAGTTCGGCATTAACTGTGTCCGCAGCCATTTTTCATAGTTTTCGTAGTTCATATTGTCGTGGTAGTCGCCTGATTTCGCACCAGCTTTAAAAGTTAGCAGTGCGTTCGCTATAAACCCAGCCTCTGATCCTGCGTGAACAATGACCACCCGCTGTCCTTTGGAGATAGGTTTTTTGAGACCTTTAGTAGTACCATCGGTCCAGGCTTTTGGAGAAGAGTGCGATAAATCTACGTAAGATTCATCTGTATATACGATAGGCCTTTCCTCTTGGCGATATTGTTTTATTTTGCGTAAGTATTCGATACGTTGCAAACGTATGTTTGAAGTTTCAATAAGCACTTTTCGGTTGTTTTCAGTATTTTTCCACCGAAACCCTAAACTCTTAATTATTCGTCGAAGACTTCGTTCTGAGCCTTTGAAATTTATATCTTCCTCTAACTTCTTCTTTAGGTTTCCGACGGTGGGAAGTTCATTATTTGTCCTATGAAAGTTATGTATGCACCTCTTTATTACTCCTTGATCGAAGTTATCAATATCTGTGACCGGTTTTGATCTAGAGTGTTTTTTGCCTGGTGTTCTAAATACTGATAATAAATCGGAACTATTGGCTTCAGTGGAGATTTTCCTTACCGTTGCTATGGATGTTTTTGTAGACTCAGCTGTCCTTTTTTGAATTTTCCCCAAGTCACTAATTATACTTTTTAATTTAATATTTCCCGCCTGAATAACTTCTGTAGTTTGTTTTATTTGGCTTAAATGTACAGTGCTGCCCGAATCGAGTAAAATACTCGTAGCTTCGCCAATTTCACTTTGGATTTGTTTCAAGGAATCAATGAACTCATTAGATTCCCTTTTCAAAAAACAATGCACGTCATACACCATTTTCCGTGCCTGTCTTCTCAAAACAGTATTTCTTCTCGGCATTTTCACTGTTTAAAAACTGTTAAAACTAAATAAAAACAGTTAATTAACTAACAAACACAACAAAGAAATCAACAAAACAAACTTAACAAAAAAACAGCAACAAAAATTAACAATGACAACAAAACAATTTAGAACGCGACTGTACACTGGAAGTGCGCGGGACGTACAGGGCAGTACGGGGGACGGAGTACGACTGGAGAGCCAACCGGCGGCCCGGCGCATCGCACGCCCGCCCTTCACCCCTGTCTTCCACCCCAGACACCTTATTTTTGACTTCTGCGCAATAACGGTCAGCGCTAGAGTTTCGTGCCGCGGCCTGTAGACTAGACTAGTCACACTTTTCGAAAATCGAATCCGTCCGAATATAATGTCCGATTTTGCCACTTGTCTAGGGGACGGATCAATTCGGACGATTTCGGTTGCTATCGTGAGTGTGTGATTGAATAGCGACAATTAAATTAATTTACTTGCTGGCGTAATCTGACTGAACTGCATCATGTCATCAGACCATCAGTGAAAAAAAGATCGCCTTTATTTGGCATCGACATTAACAGATATTTACTATTTATGTATTCGTCATTAGAGTGAATAGCCCAGACAAATAAATTAGTTTTTTTTAAGGCCTTATGGCTTTTTTGTAACTTTTTGGACTTAAAATAAAAGCCGTCATTATTATTTATATTTACCTCAAAGATTAATGTATTTCATTTTAATAATAGGAATTTGTCGTAGTTTTTTAATATCCGGTATCCGGCCGGATAGTGAGTAACTATCCGGTATCCGGCCGGATATCCGGCCTACCGGATTTCCGTTTCATCTCTACTAATTACTACGTATGTGATATATCATTGGAAAGAAGGAAAGCTAGAGATGTTTTTAAAATGATTGGCAATCCATTGTTACCTTTATTTTATTTTTAAATCGAATTCTAAGTTGAATTTTTAACGTGGTTTGTACTTTTGTTAAACTTTGGCGGCTCGTAACTAGCCAATATCCAATCATTATCTGGATCCGAAATTTATTTTATTTGACTAAATTCATATTATTCGATATTAATATCAAATAAAAAAGCGGTTGAAAACACACGAGAAAAAAATCAGAAATCAGATTAGACATCAATGACTAATTCTTTTGTTGGTGATGTATTTGATGCCTCCGACTGCATTTGTGAACACTAAGTTGTCTTGTTTTTATCTTTTTAGTTCATTTTTACGCAGTTGCGTTTTTTGTTTATTAAATAATAATTTTATTTTAATCTTTTTTAGTTAAATACCGTGCAAATCGGTCAAGCCGTTTAGGCTGTAGGCCGTGCCAAAGAAATATACATACATACATACACTCGAAAAACATAACCCTCCTTCTGTAAAAAAAATTGAAGCAGGTTTCAGGTCAAATTAGGGAAAAAAAATAATAGAAACAAAAATATCAATAAAAAAAATCGTAGCTCACTTAGGGTCAAATGGGCGAACCTGTATTCTTAAAATGACCTTACCTATACTGTGCACGAAGTTTGTCTAACCTTCCGCCAAACACCTTGTATTTGTATGTACATATTCCTGAAATACATTGACAAGGAAACGCTCAATAATTAAATTCAAATAATCAAATTGGCGTAGTGAATATTACTACGAGGTTTACAATTCAAAGATAATAATAATAACCCTACAAAAAGCCTCGTTGCTCGATATTTTAAATTCTAGTCAAATTCCGATTCATGTAAGTAATAAATAAAAATAGATTCAAATCTTATTTTTTTCAAAAGTTGTCAAACTGCCATTTTACAGATAAAACAACGTATAGATGTTTTTATTATCATGAGTGGAACTATCATAATAAAATTGTTAAGTTAAATATTGCCAGGGGTATGTAAGTTATCTTAAAACCTTGTGCGTGGAGCTGCAACAGGCAAAGACCTTACAAATTAAAATTTATTATGGATAAATATTCTTGAACATTACGTCACCGCTACTCGGTGTGATTCCGCGTGAACCTGTTGAACCCGCCGCGGTGACGTAATCGCTGGCGTATTAGTAATTGCTGACGTCATGCTTTATTTCTTTTGTTGCTATATTTAGCTTACGACTTTCAGATATTTTGAAATTATATCTATATCTACTTGGTATAGGTACCTACTAGGGATGTTGCGGATCCACTTTTTTCCACATCCGCGGATGCGGATGCGGATTTTAAGAGGCTCACATCCGCGGATGCGGATGCGGATCTGTACAAAAAACTTAAGTGTTGGCTTAGTAGAGAAAGAAACACAGCCTTATTTATCATTTTTTATTTAATAATAAAGTAGAGAATGAATTACTTTTAGTAATTATTATATAACTTAATAATTAAATTTGAAAAACTGTCTTAAACTACACTTTTAGCTAAATTTTAGTTCATATGACAAATCTAAGATTTTGGATTCAAAATTCAGTTTTACGCAACTCGTAGGAACGGCCCTTATTAAAGAAATTACAAGTTTTTAAATAACTACCTATATAATTACCCAAAACTACTATAATATCATAAGGATAAATCAGCGATGTCAGACAATAATAAACGCCCGACTCAACAAAAAAAATATTGCATAAAATATAACTTACCGGCATCATTTTTTATTTTCTGTAGCTTTTCGTTATTTGCTTTTTCAAACAAAGCAAACTCCTTAGCGTGCATTGATTTCAAATGATTTTGATTTATTAATGACGATGTTGTTCGGCCCTTTCGCGAATATGTTTTGTTACATATTTTACATTGCGATTTCTCCCGGTCGTTGTCCACAGGTTTGAAATACGTCCAAATTTCACTTTGCGTAGGTGTTGGCATAGTTCACTTATCCAAATAGTAAATAAAACTTTACTTAAGGTTCGTAATACGAATAAAGGTATTACGTATTACGTTAAACAATACAGTTAGTTCAGTTCTTAACAAAATCCACAATAAAATCAAACGTACGCTTCAGTTCTTGTCACTTGTCACAACTACTCACTAATTACAACAAAACAATAGCAAGACGCGCCACCGTCACCGATTCACTGAGGTTCAAAAACAAAAATCATTGCTTTCCTATTGGTCAATCAACACATTCGGTTGACGCGCGCCACTCGCCGGGGCTGCCCCTTTCTTTCTTGTCGCGACCTGCTACAAATCCGCATCCGCATCAGATCCTCGTCGATTTATGCGGATGCGGATGCGGATGCGAATGTCAAAATCAATGCGAATGTTCCGCATATGCGGATGCGAATATTCGCAACATCCCTAGTACCTACCTACTTATTTAGTAGTACTGTCATAGTTCTAAGTAACCGATTTATTAACTAGCTCTTCTTAAAGCATTGTGTAAGCCTGTATTTTTCCAAACTGCAGTCACAGGTATGTCATTTAATCTTTCAACAATAATACAAAGACAGGAGATCCCTATAAATAGGTATATGAAGAGCTGATATCGTTTAATTAAAGCAACAACCAGGACATAAGAAAAATATTCAATAATACGGTCGCACACATTGGAAGAACGAAAGTACTCTGTAAAATATACTGAAGTCGGATGCTACTTTATGCAGATGTGTATCGGAGACAGGACAGGCCAAATCGTCCGCTTGTCTCTGGTATATCAGAGAAGATTGTGTTCCTGCAGGGGAGACTAAATATTCTGATGAAAGTAGCTCGAAATACAATGGGTGTAGATACACCCATACATATGTATGTGAAGGTGCACGAAACTAGAGACGAGACTACTGACAATACAAATTATAAGCTGAACAAACTTTCAGCTGACTAAAATTATGTAGTCCGCGGAGAGTTAAATGTTTTTTTTTTCTTTAATCATGACCATTGACGATACAATACAATATTCGATTCGATATTTTCTTTCTTTTGAGAATTCAATATTGGGAATTAGTATTTACCTGGGTGTTACGAGCACAATCTTTATATCCTTTTAATTGTGAAAATGAGACCCACTATGTCATAGTAGGTATTTAACTGATAAATGATGTTTGTTTTGTTTTCAGTAATCCCGGCCGGCGCCCTACAAACGGACGGCGGGCTGCACACACTGGCCGTCTCAGGCACGGGCAGCGGCGGCGCTATCGTGCAGTACGCGACCAACCAAGACGCTCAGTTTTACGTTCCGGGTTAGTATGGTCAATTTACGAGATATTTTCTATCGAATTGGCAAAAACGCCAATTTTTACCGGAGAAACGAATAAATGGTACTATGTTTACAGGTCCCATTCTAGAAGACCAAACGCGAAAACGAGAACTGAGGTTGTTGAAGAATCGAGAAGCGGCGCGCGAATGTCGTCGTAAGAAAAAAGAATACATCAAATGCCTGGAGAACAGGGTGGCAGTTCTTGAAAATCAAAATAAGGCTCTTATAGAGGAACTTAAATCTCTGAAGGAACTATATTGTGAGCAGAAGACGGAATGAGGCCCAGCCGGCTAGCGGAGTGACTGGTCCGTTGGAACGCTGCGGCGCGCGCCGTCCCTGTGCTCATAAGATGCTTGGAGTTTGATTGGTCATGACCATCATTCATGTTTGGGGGTATTTGATATTTCGCAAATAAAACTACTTGATCAATTGGGTTTAGTAAGTATTGTTAGTTTATTATAATAATGTTGAATTGTTTATGGTATGTTTTATAATATTTATGTTACTGTTTTAACGATATCAGTTTGGTTTTGTTTTACAGGATGAAATTATCGTAGTTCATGTTTTTTATTGAATTGTTAATGTAAACCCTGGTCTTAATGTATAGTAAATTATATTGTTGGTATGGGTTTCTCTACCATTCCAAAGTGTTAACCTTTTCTAATAATTTTATGCAATCATTTTACTATCCAAGTTTTACTTTGTGCCATTCGCTGGTTTAATAATTCACGGAATGTAATTAGTTCATTACATATTTTTATTGTTCAGTAGATTACTTTGTTTTAAAGAGCATTTTGCAACTAACCCGGGTAATCATACAATCTGTGTCACCACGTCGTCGTTTCTGTGATGAACGATATTGATGTCCTATATTACTACTATTAACATTATTGTTAATTATTGTTTACACCAATACTGGGGTGTTTGTAATGGATAAGCCAAAGTTAATATTTAGTTTTATTGTGCAATAGAGATTGCAATGTACAGAAAAGTCTACAGTTGTCTACGTCTCTGGATTAAAGTATATATTAAATGCAAATAAAATAAAATATGTACATTGTGTATAGTTAATTAATATTGTAAAGGATGTTAGTATAATGAAATGATCCATTGTATATATTGATGATATGTTACGGATGTGGAGGAATGGTCGATTTTGCATATCACCATTTTAAATCGTTTAATGTATCGTCGTGATATAAAGTTTGAAGATCTTATTTGGTGGATTAAAAAGCACCATTCTTTCATTAACGGTAATTCAATAACATAGATGACTATTTTTTGTGAAGAGGGATTCTTTAGTTGACTAATAGAGTATTAAGATTAAATGTTATATTTGCCATGATTGACAATTAAATGCATGCTTGTTTATTCATTTTCAAAGATGGATTAATAAATTGTTTAGTTGTATTTTTATTAAATCATTCATGGCAAATGAATTTATCGATAGACATTGAGAAAAGTGCCTTTAAATTAGAATGAATAAAGTTTATACCAACATAGCTTTTTATGTTAACTTAAATGCTATTTATAAATAATAATAATATTAACTGTTTCATGTATTCCTGTAGTATTATTTCTAAAATCTCCTGTGGCAGATTCGAGTACGTATCCACTCCAGTCGTCCCGCCCCGTATTTTTCACCGCACGCATCTACACACCTTAAACGCCACGTTACGTTATTACGTATTTTCGAAAACCACTGTAAAGACTGTACAATAGCTATATTATAAAAAAAAATCGACCAACCACCAGCTGATTTATTCCAGTAGTCCCCACACCACCAGTGACAACAACGGGAATTATTACCTATATTTTTTTCAGCCGATGGAGACAATGGTATAAAAAATTTAGTGATTTAATAAAATTCCCACAGTAATAAAGGTCCTTTTAAGAATACAAGTTCTCCCATTTGACCCCGACTGACCTTTTTTTTTAATTGATATTTTTGTTTTTATTTAATTTTTTCCAAAATTTGACCTTATTAAACCTACCCTGGACTACAACAAACATTTTAAAGCCAAAATCAGCTCAATCGGCCCAGCCGTTCTCGAGTTATAATCAGACTAACGAACAGCAATTCATTTTTATTTATTTAGATAGATAGATTAATATCGAAAATGTCTTTATACAAATAAAACAAATTTCAGATCCAGTAGTGATTGGATAGCTAGTTACGAGGCCGCCAAAGTTTAACAAAAGTACAAACCACGATAAAAAATTCATCTTAGAATTCGATTTAAAAAAATTAAAGGTGATAGACAATGGATTGCCAATGATCTTAAAAACATCTCTAGATTCTCTATACAGGATGACAGGAAAAGCGATACATTCCTTGATAGGGGTTAAAGTAGAGCTTATTTGCAGTCATTTAAGTCATAAGTATGACAACATGTCCGAAACTTGTTCATTTCCAAGTTATTCAAGATATAAGTATTTTCTTAAAAATCTCCAGTTTTTATGTTAAAATGTACCCTTGTATAATAATGAAGAATACGGAATAATGTTAACTTTTTATATTCGTATAGCTAAATAATAATATTAATTAACATTTTAAATTAAAATTTGCAAAAAAGAATCGTCATTACTCAAGTAAAAGCTAAAAAACCATGTATGATTTTGCAAAAAAAAATTGTTTTAGGTAATTAAACGAAGAATTTCCAAGAAAAAATGTATGGAATGTTGTGTACAAATTACAGAATTTAGTTCCTTGATTCATTAGCTATTCATAAAGGTAAGTACAGGTGTTTAACAAACACACATAATTATTTTTTTATTTAAATGGCAATGCCAGATTTTGTATGGAAGGTGGCGTCATTTTTTTTCGCGCGGCCATGGACCAAACTTTGTTTTTTGATTTCAAAATAGTGTTTTAAACCAAACTTACTATAGCATGTATGTATACCTCTAAACTCAGTCTGAACTGAGTTACGAGCATTAGAAGTTTAATTATTTTCATACTATATTTGCTTTTTGCGCGCAAGTTTTGTAAGAAATTGCAACAAAATATTGCGCTGATTCTGCTGCATACTGATGTCTGGAGCCTTTAATGGATGGTATTGTTTGTTTACACATAAAATGTCATTATTTTGTTGCAATTTCTTACAAAACTTGCGCCCAAACAGTAAATTATAGTATGAAAATGCGTTCCGGCCCCCCGATCGCGCCGCCAACCACGTCCTCTTTTCAATGTACCGCACTGCAAGACGAGATACGCGAGCAATGCACCGCTATCGCGTCACGTTTGCCGCGAGTGTATAACCAGAGCCCCGATTACGGTAACTTTTATAGCGTCTACAAATGGTCTACAATCCAGACGCGTTTCTGATTCTGCGATACGATTGGTCAAAACAGCTGACGTACGCTGTTGAACGACCAATTGTATCGCAGAATCGAGAAGCGTGTCTGGATTGTTGACGTTAAAAAATACCGTAATCGGGGCTCTGTACTTCAGCGAGATTGACCTATTTACTAGAGATGAAACGGATAGTTGTTTGGCCGGATACCGGATATCCGGCCAGCTGCTAAAGTCCAAAAACCACATTTTCATAGGATTCGATGCAATGCGGAGACGCGGTCGGGGTGAGTGTAACTTAACTTAATGTTTAGACATAGGTACTCTCTAATCTGTGACTTAATGATTGTTTGTATTGAACATAATAATACATAAGATGATGCTAATAATACCCAGTTTCTGGCTGGCAGGGGGGGGGGATAAGTCATACCCAGCTTATAGCCTGGGGGGAGGGGCAAGCCTTACCCAGCTTCTGGCCTTGGTGGGAGGGGGGGGGGGTCAAGTCATATCGTTATTTTACACAATTTCTATTTTTAAAAATTACCTATCGATAGCTTACTTTATTCTGATGAATAAATGTCATTACAAGTTTTTCTCTAAAACTGATAGTTTGACTAGAAAAACATATTTTCTATCCACGCAGTACGCCGGCAGCATTCCGATCGGATATAGTGACGTCATGGTCCCCGCGCCGGGCGGTCAGTAAACTTTTTTAGTAATTTGGCAATAACTTCGTCAATTTTTGTCGTAGAACAAAAATTTTTGGACTGTGTTGTGTATTAATGATTTCTTAGCCCTATAAATCTGCATTCACAGCTAAAAATCGAAATGATCCTCATTGGCCAAGACGTAATAGTGTGAACACCAACTCGATTACTTTCTCCTTCCCACTTGCGTACGTTGCCCATGCTTCGGGGTTGGACAAATTACCGCGCCATATAGCTTAAACGTACCTGACCTGAGTGCGTACCATAAAGTTAATATTCTTCCGGAGGAATATTAACTTTATGGTGCGTACCATTCGGCAACAGTGTAAACTATCCTCAGAGCCCCGATTACGGTAACTTTTATAATGCGCGCTCTACACTCGCGCGCGATTCTTGCTGTGAATTCACGCCGCGATTCGCGCCGTGCACTTCGCGTTTATATGTGTCTCTCCACACTCGCGAAACCTCGCAGTCTCGTTCGCGGCCTCAATGGATGACGACGTGATTGTTGCTGCGGTGACGCTCTGTGCTATATCGTATTACAATTACCTATGTATTAAAAATAAGACTCAAATAAAAAATGTTTAATGGGTTTATATATTTCACTTGAGCTTGCCCCACTATGAGTGGAATCCTTAACTTTCTTTCTATAGGTTCTATAACTGGACATAAGTGAGTCCTTTTTTTTTTCAATTCACCCACAGGAATATTCAAAATGTCACTTATCCGCGTCCAGGCATAGTGGGTCTTATTTTTATTTTTATGGTCCTTGTGTTTGGACTGTCAAAGTATTGGTTCGGATTGAAAACACTCGATAAATTTCAACTCAAGTTCATTATTCCATGCCTAGTACCTACTCATTTAAAAAAAAAAAGAACGTTAGTAAGTACGCAATAATGCACAACCACTTGCGACGGCGTCTTCTCAGCTATTGCGAAAAACTGCGAGTGTAGTTGCGTTCGCGATCGCGCGCCGTGAACCAAGCGCGAACCTTTGTCGCGGGACAAAAAACCGACAACGAACGGGGAACGGCGCGAAGCGTGAACGCGAACGCGCGAAAGTCCGCGAAACCATCTACACACGCGTTTCGCGGCTTTCGCGGCCTTTCGCGCCGCGAGTGTAGAGCGCGCTTAACGTCTACAATCCAGACGCGTTTCTGATTCTGCGATACGATTGGTCAAAACAGCTGACGTACGCTGTTGAACGACCAATCGTATCGCAGAATCGAGAAGCGTGTCTGGATTGTTGACGTTAAAAATTACCGTAATCGGGGCTCAGATCATAGTCTATGATCTGAGCTAAAACCAGACTTGAATTACTACAGAATAAATGCTGTATAGGTTAGGTACATACCTGATAATTTAAATAAAATTTATATTTTAAAGATTCTAAATTAATAATTTTTTTTTTAATTATTGTGTGCCTAAATGCCCAATGGTCTCTATCACATGGTTATTTGTCTGTGATAGCCACCAACCTCGTATCCGAACGTACTTGTTGTTGGATAATTTGGATTTGGCGTTTGAGGTTATGTTTACTGCATATTTTGTCGAGTCAGAATTAAGAAGAGTATTTGAAGGTGCTACAAGTACTAAATCCTAGTTAAATCGACGGCTACGTAATAAAAAATGTTGGTGACACTGAAAACGTTACAACAATTATCTTTCCAAATAGAAATCGATCCAGAGGAAACTGTCAAAGCCCTCAAGCTCAAAATTGAAGTTGAAAAAGGGAAAGACTATGCTGCTGACCATCAGAGACTCATTTACGCCGGAAAGATACTTCTCGACGACAATAAGATAAGTACTTATAATATAGATGAGAAAAAATTCATCGTCATCATGGTTACAAAGCCTAAAACATCGGAAATTCAAGCATCATCTACTTCCGCTCCTGAAGCTGGTGAAAGTGCTTCAACAGAGAGTGGTGACGGTAAAGACAAAAAACCTGTAGAGGAAACACCGAAACCGCCTGCAGCTGCTGAACCAGAACATTCTGCTGAACCTCCAGCAGTCGCCAATGAGCCAGATTTTGAGGCAACTGTTCAAAGCATTATGGATATGGGCTACAACCGTCAACAGGTCGAACAGGCATTGCGCGCTTCATTTAATAACCGTGAGAGAGCTGTAGAGTACTTAATCACAGGTATACCAGATGACTTACTTCAAGAACAAGAGGGGGAAGAAGGTTCTGATGAAGACCCATTAGCTTTCCTTCGTGATCAGCCCCAATTTCAACAAATGAGGGCTGTCATACAACAAAACCCTAACTTATTGAATGCTATTCTCCAGCAAATTGGTCAAACTAATCCTGCCCTACTGCAAGCGATAAGTCAACATCAACAAGCATTTGTCAGAATGTTAAATGAACCAGTCAATCCCACTAGTGGTAGTGCTGCTGCTGAGGAAAGTGTTGCGGAGTCCCAGCCCCCTCAACAACCTCAGAATGTAATCCAAGTTTCTCCTCAGGACAAAGAAGCCATAGAACGGTTAAAAGCTTTGGGATTTCCTGAGCATATGGTGATACAAGCTTACTTTGCTTGTGAAAAAAATGAAAATCTGGCAGCAAACTTCTTGCTATCAAATAATTTTGATGATTAAATTAATATTACTTGAAACAGTGAAGAGACAAAATTACAAATTTTAATTAACAATAATAATAATATGTTGTTCTTATGTCCATAGCCGAATAGTTTACTGCTTGTATATTTCAAGTGTATTTTTACACTGAATTTCAAAACATTTTGTCATTATCTAATAAAATTCTTATTGTTCCATTATGATTTTTTATTGTTTGTTTCTTTGTCTGCTAAAGTATACCTACATGGGCCACACTGTCAGATGGATCATGTAATAACAGATCAATAACAGAGACGTTTTTGACCTGTATTGGAACCTCAGATAAGGTGAAGCAGACCCCTGAATCTTCCAATCTTCCACCACAGTAATACAGGCTATTTTACTGTCAACTGCTGAAATAATGCTAATCTTCTTGTTTAGCAAACAGACTTGATAGGTATTAGACTATAGCCAAACTTGGAAACAAGTCCTATCAACCAAATCAAAAAAATCGTGCTCCCCCTGGAAATCAAACCCCGGGACTATGAGAGCATCAATCAGTACCTATATTATAATAGATGGTAGAATTTTTTCTAACCTACGCCTACGCTGCTACATAGCGATTCATTGGTAGGTAGGTGATTAAACAAAAACCATGTGAGACCATGTCGGAGAAGCATGTCAGCTTCTTAATACCAAATGACATCATTCCTCTAGGACTAATATCTGAGTCACCCACCTCCTCGCGCCTCTCAGAAAATGTAGTTGAGCACCTAGCCTTACGTTAGGTTTCTCGTAGCGACAATAACAGGTTAGGGATGCGATCCCTCGGTCTTTATGCTACTTGCCTCTAAAACAACGTAACGTTTGGAACATTTTTACTTACAAATATTCCATTTTTGTTTTGACTGAAATGCTATATTTCAACCTTGTGTAGTGACTCAGTCTCAGATTAATAGGACTCAGTTATTAGACCTAGAACAGAGTAAATTCAAATGAGTAGGTCATCTTCATAGAAACGCACTGAGCGCGGATTGTATGCGACCGCTGAGAGAATGCATTTCAGACTGCTCGGATACGACCAATAAAATTAATAATCTTGACTAGAGAAGGGGGACGCGGAATTTTTGTACGGTCGAAAGGGGGCGCGTCTCAAATAAGTTTGGGAATCAAAGTTCTAGGCAGAGTAAATACAAATGAGTAGGTCATCTTCATGGGAACGCACGGGCGCGATTTGTATGTGAGCGCGCCAATATACGTATGCGGCGCGCACGCACACACTAACAAAATTCGGCGCACCTCACCCACAACCTCACCGCTAAATTAAATTCAGCTCTCAGCGGTCGCAAATTTTTTATACTTAAGTAGGTACACAGTTTTTACGGTGCGGTACAGCCAGCAAGTTTTAAACAGAGGACAGTTGGCCCGCGCCCCCCTTATAAAGGTCTTTGCGCCTCCCCTGGGGGGCCTATAAGAATGACGTCATGTTCAGGTAGTCATGTACCAACTATGATAATAACTTTCTTTGGCCAGCTACCTACTTCTAATCCACTCACAGCAAGGAACAGCTGGAGTTTGTTTTGATAATTTTCACTTTTCGAAACAACGACAAAAGATCCAGAAAATTTTATTGGCTTTAATCGCATTAAAGATATTTTTTCTTGAAGAAGCACCATTTTAAAGATACTATTATTTATTAGCTTAGATTATAAAAATTAAAAAAGTGGGAACTTTAACCCCCTGCCCCCAAGAGGCGGGAGGACTTTTAGAATGTTTGTTGCTCTATGCAACTTGAACCAATTTCTGAAGAAACAGCTCACCCACTCTACACTCCATTTTTGGTCCATTTTGTCAGATGTCCTTTAGATTTAAAAAATACAAGCCACCTGTGAAATTCACTGAATAACGTTTTAATTTAATGACACGAATCACTCCCTTCGTTTTCTGGGTGCGCGCGCCGCGTGTAGGTAACAGAGTCGTAACGTTTGCGCAGACGCAGCCCCTTGCACAGAAAATCAGACATTCGCCCGTATTCACAAACGATACTTGTTTCAATAAAGCAGCAAATTGAACTCACAGCGTTGAATAGAGCTCTGTGATTGGTTCATGTGTCACCCTGTGCATCCACGTGCACTATGAGACCTCATAGTAATGTTTGTGAATAAGGCGATTAGATAAAGTCCGTGGCTGGCCATCACGAACTACCTATTTTTGTTTTTGTTGCAACATAGCACCCTTTTATGATGTGATGCTAGAATGTATAGCCGTGTCGTTGTTTTTCATACTTACACATCCGGATTTCTGGCTGCGCATTCGGAAAGCCACGTTTCTTTATTATGGTTCCGTAGTACACAAGGAATAGTTTCGTCATGTCGTCTGTCCAAGGTTTTGCTTGGAAACTATTGACACTAAGCGGTAATTTTGTAGAGATATAATATGTAGGTATATTAATCACACCGACAAAGTGGTAGAACAAGATCTTGAAAAAAAAAAAAATTTTTTTTTAGTGTAGTTCCCGTACATGTAAATTGGTGATTTTTTTTTCATCTTCTAACTTTTGACTTGAAAAATCTCGAAAAATTCACGCTAATTGTGCTTTTTATGAACTTTCCGGGTACAGGGCCGGATCGTGAATTTGTGGGGCCCTGGGCTGTAACTACTTGGGGGCCTATCTTAGTACTCAACTAATAGCCATGCCAAAAAACTGTTTCTATAATGATATATTATTCTTATACATATACATTGTGAGTCACGATAAAGTGCACATATGAAAATAGGTGAAACTAGACCTATTTTTATCGACAAAAAAGAGGTAATAAAATATTTTTTTTTTTTTTTAATTTTTCTGCCAATTACTTCTTGTAATGAAAACGTAATAACTTTTAAACTAAGAGGCATATTCTGATTAATTAAAACAGTAATAATGCTAAATAACAGGCGATACTAAAAAATACATAAAATACCCAGAAAATGCCTACAAATAATAAAAAATTATACTTTTTAAAAAAAAGTCTGCTTTTAAATTCGTGTTTTTTTGGTTATTTGATAAATTTATCCAAAAAATGGCCCCATAACAGGTGGTTTTTATTACTTTGTATTATTCTCTATCGTATTAATTTTGTAAAACCAAAAATCGGAAGTCTCTATCACAACATTTGCTATGATCGTTTGAACAAAGGCCTGCCACAACATTATTCTCCGCTACAGGTAGAGACAATTTTAATTTGAACTAAAATGCTTATTTTACTTCGAAATCTTTTGTTTTTATTTGAAATGTAACTTGTTTTTATCAAAATTACAAATCTAGAGCCACTTTCAGTTTCGTTGTTAACGAAGCGTTGAATGGCGCGCCCGGAGAGGCTAAGTTCAAACGATCATTGCAAACGTTGTGATAGGAATAGAGACATGCGATTTTTAGTTTTACAAAGGTAATACGATAAAAAATAACACAAAGTAACAAAAACAACCTGTTATGGGGGCATTATTTGGAAAAAAATATCAAATAACCAAAAAAACACGAATTAAAATGCAGATTTTTCTCAAAATATATCATTTTTTTATTATTTGTTGCCATTTTCTGAGTATTTTATGTATTTTTTTAGCATCGCCTGTTATTTAGCATTATTACTGTTTTAATTAATCAGGATATACCTCTTAGTTAAAAGTTATTACGTTTTCTTTACAATAAGTAATTGGAAGAAAAAAAATTAAAAAAATATCTCTAAAAGGACATTATCCATTTTGGTCCAAAATCAGAAGTGCCGGCCAAAAAATAAAAGTGCTGTATTCTGATAGAACACGTCCACCTTAGCATTTGTTACTATGGCACCAAAGCTGTAGCACCACTGTGCATCGTAGTATTTGAGTTCTAAAAGTCTGTCTTTTTAACATTTCTACGATTAAACTATTTACTAAAATAAATGAAGTATCTTGCCGAAACATGGCGTTTTTAATATGCTTTGGTTAACACGATGTACTCATTGTCGTTCATATACACTGCATACCCAAAAAAATGCACCATGAGTACCTACAAACAATAAAACATTAACATTCCTATGTTAAAACTAGACGCGGCTTATCACTTCTAGGAATTAAACCAATAGCCTTACCCTACCGCCATACAATGGGCACACCGCCGCACCGCACCACAACAACCCTTTTTTTACGGGTAAAAATGCGTTGAATCGCATACCTACCCTGCGGGAACAGGGTCTGAAGGACTGGGCATACCCACTAAAAGACCCCGGTACTCCGCCGCTCGGTGGCAGGAAACTGTGGGGTTCCGGACAAAGCCTTCTCTACCACAGCCCCTCCCGGCCCTACAAACCCGGAGCACATAATAAGCAGCGGAGAACTTGGACCGAGCACACTTTGGCTTTATGGCCCCCTTCACCGCAGCGGAAACAGTGTGGCCAGTGCCCTAACAGGCGACACACCCTTCAACAGTGTTACATGACAGGACTAGGAGTTTAGTGGCCGACTGACTTGGCTTGAACCGGAGACCGACCACACACCCCTCCCTCAACCCTTCACCGCTGGTCTCGCGTGTGTCGTTCCCTGTCGGTTTATTTCTTTAGTACCGAGAGTGAAGTTGCCGTGTGTGTTCTCTCAGAATACAGCACATTTTTTTTGTGGACTGCACTTTTTGATTATGCACCAAAAATATATGAAACGTGGATGACTTTGATCTCAAATACTACGACGCTCAGTGATGCTACAGCTTTGGTGCCATAGTAACAAATGCTAAGGCGGACGTATTCTGTCAGAATACAGCACTTTTTTTTATTGACCGACACTTGATTTTGAACAAAAAATGTATGAATCGTAGATGAATTTTAGATCTCAAAAACTCGACGCACACTGGTGCTACAGCTTTGGTGCCATAGCAGGCCTGGCTCACTCCACGCGGTACATCCGATAATTACCTACAGCGAAGCGCCCCGCCGGCGGGTATTATATCAGTCGAGTGTCACGCGCGCGCTCGTCAGGACGCTGGCGTGCGTTGTAGTATGATTATAATTCTATGATCGAAGTATTATTTAAAAATTGACATAAAGAGAAAGAAATATTGTGCGGCGTTCGGGTGTTTAAATTCGAAAAGTAATCTACCGGATTTATCTTTTTTTTTTCGCTTCCCAAAGATGCTGAAAGGTATGTTGGCCATGTAGGTAATCAATAATTCTTAGGATAGTATAGGAACCTAACCTACTATGACTACTGCTCAGAATGCGTTCGTTCGTTTCAGCCAAATGACGTCCACTGCTGGACAAAGGCCTCTCCCAAGGTTTTCCATAATGAATGCATACTTACCTACATACGTACCTCATTACAAATAAGTAGATTAATTATTTTTTCACTAGATAGCAACCCTAACAGCGTAAGAAGAGTTCAGAGGCACGCGATAGAAAGAGACAAAACTTGTAGGTGAATAAAATTGTAGGTACGTAGTGCTGTGCGAGCTGAATTCCACTGTATCGCGTCGTAGCAAGACTCGCATTTATTTAAATCGTCTTGCGGAGTAATCCTTCTGTACCTGTACTATTACTTATTCTGTGGCCATAGTAACAAATGCTAAGGCAGACGTATTCTGTCTGAATACAGCTTTTTTTTTTACTGGCCGACACTTTTGATTTTGAACAAAAAATGTATGAAACGTTTTTAATCAATATTTTCTTATGACGTTGTCAACGTTGTAAACCGACTTTACAGACTTTTTTTTTTTAAATTATGGCCTACTTTTTAGCGGGATCTGGGGGCCCCTTGTAACCCCGGGGCCCTGGGCTGCAGCCCAATCAGCCCATAGGTAGATCCGGCCCTGTCCGGGTAAACTATAGCGGTTAAGATAGATAAGTTAGTTTAAGAGAACGACTATTATCGTTTAACTTATCTATACTAATATTATAAATCTGAAGAGTTTGTTTGGCTTATTCCACTTTACCCCGTTGAAAATCCCCGTCAACGGGGAATAGTGAACTTTTTGTTCACTAATCCCCGTTAACGCCAATTGGAGCTTATAATTGGGAATAATGAACTAAAAAGTTCAATAATCCCCTTTATATTAGGATTTTATTTTGAACGTAATGGGGAATAATGAATTTAAAAGTTCCAATTTAACGTTAACGGGGAATAGTGGAATAAGCCGTTTGTGGCTGTTTGTTTGTTTACTTGAACTCGCTAATCTCAGGAAGTACTGGTCCGATTTGAAATATTCTTTCGTTGTTAGAAAGCCCATTTATCGAGGATGGCTAAGTAGTAAAGTGTAATATGCTTTTTGCATGATTTTTTTTTTAATTTGGCGAAGACGTTCCCGGGCTAAAGAAAGAGTTCTGC